CAGCCTGTGACCCCGCTGCCGCTGGTGTGGGCTCCTGGGCCCCCCCGTACTGTGGATGGGGAAAGCTTCTGTGTCCTCCCAAGCCCACGTTGCGTCTTGCTGGGGTCCAGGTGTCCGACGGGGCTTGTGCTGCCTCCACAGAAGGAGCCGCTCCGGGAGCTTTTTGTTTGCCAAAGAGCAGGGGCACAACACGGGCACCGTCGGCCCCAAGTTACCTCTGACTCAGCAAATCAAGGGCCCAGCTCCAGCTTTTCAGGGAAAGCTGAAGCAGACAGTCAGCAAGATTTCCTCTGAAGAAGGATGTAAAAAAGTTAACTTTTTGACAAGTTTATGGACTTTTGGCACTGAAATTACTGCTTTTTTAAGCGGAGACATGTTCACGCGCAGAAGGGATTTGGCAGCACAACCCCGTGCCCCTCGTTCGTGTGGACCGAGGGCAGCCGCGCTGGCATGCGGCTCCGCAGCTCCCTGCGATGCAAACTTTGGCAAAAGCCATTTGCTAACGCTGCATCGCCGCTCTGGCCTCCTGCTGCAATATCGTCTCCTGCCATTACGTGCTGCAAACCCTGGAAGAAGTTCAAAAGCAGAGGCAGAGTCCCGCTTGCAGCATGCCCCTTCAGCGCCGTTTGCTGGCCCATGGCGAGCTCCTCCTGAGCAATCCCCTGCCCCGGGTCCAGCAAGGCTGGCGACGAGGCTTTCAGCAGACAGTGCCTCTGCCCGGTGTTTTTTCTGGTTCAGCTCCCCTTGGCTTCGACAGGGACAAAGCTCATCGGGGTCTGGCAGTTTGCTGTCGCAGAGCCGTCACGCACTGCTGACACATTTGAGCAGAGGAAAGCCGTGCTCAGCCAACACCTCCCCCCATTCCCACCCCAGTCCTCCCTCCATCCGAAGCCAAAACGCATTTGTGCTTCTCCATGAGGACAGTTATTTCTTCTTGCTTCAGAGCACAGAAAGCCTTGCAGAGCAGCCCACAGCTCCCGGCACCCTGGGGCTGGCGATAAAAAACCCATAATACAGCATTCAGGTGTTCAGGTGAAATGTTGCTCTCTTTATTTGTACTTTAAAAAAGAATGATCTGGGTAACGACAGCCCTACTGCTCTCGCTCAGGCTTGGCACGAATTTACAAACTCTCTCGGCGCTCCAAGGAGAGGAGAGGAGCTCTGAGCTCTCTGAACATGTCCTTAACGGCTCAACGCTTCCCCGAGTCCGCTGGTTTGTAGCCTCGGAGCTGGGTTTGGCCTTGACTCACGTAACACAACTGACCATCACTCGAGAGCGCTCACTGAATAGAGAGGAAAGGGCAACGCTTGAGAAACTTCACATCTACACGTAAACCCAGCCTGTAAGCGGGCAGCAACAAGCTGGGTTTGCTGTTGCAGTTTTGGGGATGCTTTCAATGAGTTACAACACCAGAATTTAAAGAAATTAGCTCTGAGCCTCATGGCTTGCACTAGCTGCAGGTTTTGTTTCTGCAGCAGGTGCTTTGGGGAGGGAGATTGAAGACGGGCTCCAAGGTAGCTCCCTCGCCCGCGCCGGCTACCGCCCGTGGGATGGATGGAGTCGTTACATCCTACATACACCCTGTGCCAACGCGGGGTGACAGACCAGCATTTCACAGCACAGCCACAGCTTCTGCTCCGAGGCTGCTCGAAGGCAGGAAAACAGGCAGTGAAGTCGCTCCACGTCCCCCCGGGGAAACGCGGGTCTGGGGTGAGCAGAGCCACCGGCCACCCGGCTCACGGTCGATGCTGCAGCCCCCCGAGCAGGCAGCTGCCTTCTCCTGGCAGAGCCCTGTCTCCGCACGGTGAGCCCCGTCCTCCCTGCCTGCCAAGCACGCAGCCGTCGCAGGTGAAGGAAATGGATGCTGAATTTCTTAACTGGCACTTAAAAAAAGGTCACATCAAAATTGAAAGATCAATTTGTTCCTCGGCGTCACCATCAGTTATGCATGAAGGCGCAGACTGCCGGCACTCAAGTACTCATCATCTGGGGCATCTCCTCACACTGGAACAGGCAATTTAAACAGAAAAATGAACTTTTACTGAACTTGTTTTGTCAGTCTAACACTGCAGGAAGAGAGGCGTCTCCGCGAAGCCCCTTTGCCCTGCCTGCAGCCCACCTCCAACACCCCAAAGGGAGCAGGGTGCTGCTCACACATTAAATCTCTTTGTCAGCATCCCCAGAGGAGTTTCTCTGGGCGCTTCCCCGCCGAGCGCCAGCAGCGTGGTTAGCCGGTAGCTGGGGGAGCTCGGCCGCTCCAAGCTCGCAGCCCGCAAAGGGGCAGTGCCGGGCTCTCTGGGCAGCTTTTATTTAAAAGGCAGCTGTACAAATTAAACGCCCCTCAAGGGAGAAGTACTTTGCACAGCAACTCAGAAACTCTTATCCATTAAGACATTTTGTTTTCCGATGTTACCAGCACCACGTTTACCCGCAGACGAGGCCGAAGCACCGACCTCCCTCTTCTCATCCCGGCACACCCTTACCTGGAGGCCGATCCAGCGACGCGGGGGCTCAGGCAGGGACGGATCTACTGAGCCGGCCGCAATGGTCCCCTCCTGGCCGGGCGCAGGAGGGAAGGCGGCCGTTGCGCATCTCGCATGGCTGCATCCAGTCCCGTAAGCGTTTGGCGGAGGCAGCACCACGGACTGGTGTCGAACTGCAGCCGTTTTCCCACCTGGATGGCCTTGGAAACTCTTCTAACGGACACAAAGCTCCCCTTCTCCCACGGATGTTTCCAATCACTTGCTGCTATGCATCAAGGAAGACAGCGAACTCAACCAGTTAGAAACACAAAGGCTTCTACACATTAAAAGCACCATGGTAAAAAGAAAGTCACCCAGCACAGACACTCCAAAAAATGGTAGAACTTTTAATTTTCCTCAGTACAGATATTCTTTACAGCAGAAGGTTTTCTTAAAAAACTATATACACACACATATAGTATTGTGTATTTCAGTATATGCTCCTACGGTCTCTAGAAAAGGAGAAAGATCAATGTAAAAGAAATCCTCACGGCCCCTTCCCGCGGCCCAAGCTCTTTCCTAGGAAGATCGCCACTCCCCGGGGTCGGGACAAGGCGCTTGCTACAACCGCTTCGGCGCAGTTTTGGTGTTGCTTACACAATAGGTTCATGTCTCTACCGTGTGCCTCTCTAGCACAGACAAATTTTGAATAATTCCTTCAATGGCGAGACTGATGCTACATGTAAGATCAAGTCAGTCACGGGCACAGCAGTTTCAAGATGTAAAATTGCTTTAAACACAATTTTGCAGGATAAACAGAGCACACATTTTATTACGAGACATGATGAGTCAGCTCCACAAGTCCTCGATACCTCACCACAATAACACTTAGGGGGAAAAAAAATGAGATCTAAGTTAGAGTCACTCAACTGTTTCCTAATAAATTCTTACAGCTGACAAAGAGGTTTTTTCTTTTTTTTTCTGCAAGCAGTTTTAAGAGAGTTAAAGAGCTATCTGGGGAATGAATTAGTGTTTCAAAACCAAGTTACAAATCTATAAAACAGATTAGTATACTTCACATAAGGCCACAAACACTGCAAACTGTCAGTGTGACTATTTAGGATCATTAAACTTAATCTTTTAATTAGCATAAGCTTTATACCTCCATTACTTATTTTCAATTCCAGGAGCAGAGGAAGAAGCTTCCCAAGCCTCACGGGAGATGCGGCTGTCGGGGGGCAGAGGATCGGGGTACCGCTGGCAGGGGCACCTCTTGCTAATTGAACATCCAGGTATTGGTCTTGCCTAATCCAATTCCATTTGAGTCTATTGAGTGAGCAACAACCAAATGGTTCTGAGACAGTAAAAAGGCATGCACAGCCAAATCCACTTAGCAGAGCTAAGAACACAGATCTATTGTGCTACTGGCTTCACCCAGCCTGCAACTTCCAACACGCTTTAGCAAAACAAATTGTTACTCCCTGGTGGTTTTGCTTTCAAAGCCAACAGTGCAAAGGAGCCTTCGTATTTCGAGTCGCGTCAAAAACGGTGCACGTGAGTAGTCAGTTTTGAAACAGACCTGCAGCATTGCTGGGTTGGGGTTCTTTTTTTTTTTTTTTGGGTAAACAGCTTCTGAAGAGAAGTTACAGGCACTGCTTACCTTGACAATTCGGACCATTGCTTTCAGTTCAAGTTTTAAAGTGCAAAACTTCATAGAGTCTTTGGGTAAAAAAAGCGTCAATTCCCATATGAAGCCGGCAAAGAAACAGCCAGAACATGTACGGGTGATTGACAACTGTGAGAGTATCACAGACATTCACAACAAAAGCAAGATCTCTGCTACCTCTTTAACACCGTCAGCAGCTGCTGCAAATCTCCTCCCCTCCGCCTAGGCAGGGGACCTGTTGTCCAAGAAACAGTGGATTAGTAACAGTTGTGCTTGCAATTGCATTTGCATCTGCAGACCTTTGTCTAGAAAAGTATATACAGAGAGACTTTGGTGTTGCATAGTCTTTTTTCAGAGAGGAACAGGCACTGCTGAAGGTTCTTCTGTGGTATATTGCCACCTAATACTGTAGATGCTCTACACGCCTTCCAATAATGTATGTAAACTGTAACGGCTATGAATAAATATGTTCAAGAGCATCTCGTGGTTTAGATAAAGGAAAGGTACAAAAATCTGCATTAGATTTCTACAGCTTTGGTCTAAACTGTGCTGTAACATCATCTGACTTGGTGAAGAGCCCTCAGAAACGTCCCCGCGTACAGCACGCGGAACAGCATGATTCAGTCCATAGATTTTTAGTGGTTATTCTCTTGTCAGCTCTTCGATGCATTTGACCTCAAAACATGAACAGATCATCTTTCTCGCCTGTGTTGGAATCTATTTTGTTCCAGTCTACAGGTGAGAGCGTTTCTGCACTCTGGATGTCTTGAGCAGTCAGTCCCGTGTCGAGGACATGCGGGTTTGTTCTCGACTGAGCCAGTCTAAGAGGGGAGAAAAACAGAAAGTAAGAACACAAATCCGCGCAGTTTATAGCCTGGATGCTTGATGCATCCGTAATGCCCAACCCCAGCTGCAGCTCCACATTTCAAAATCCTCCAATGGAATGAAATAATTCAGTCAGGGGAGAGCTGGCACGTCACATCTGCAGCGCTCTCCCGTTTGTTGCAGCTTTGCTGCCGGTTTGTCCTAACATTTCCCCTACAGGCACCAGGGAATGTGCAGTCTGGACACCCCCTGTGTTAACGGTCTGGCAGAGCGGTGCTGTTTTCCTCCCCTGAGTTATTGCTGGTGGGTGCCCCGCTAGCTGGGATCTTCTCTCAGCGTAAAGGCTCTGCTGACCGAAGGAGCAGCCTCATTGCAACGGCTCCATTTTCACCGTGGTGTGTCCAGACACGCGGCGGGGGCCGCAGCTCGCTGCTCGCCGCACTGCCGGGGCCAAGCATTTCACTCTTTGGGTTAAGACCCAGCAGGACTCAGATGATGTTTAATAGCCCGCAGGATCAGCTTTAAGGCGTCAGCATCTCAGCCCATCCTAGATGTTTCACAAAACCTAACAATCTCCAGTTTGTTGTTATTAAATACCTCGGTGAAAATGTTAACACTGCAGCATCAATTCTCCCAGGGCCAAAAGGTTAACTCAGATATTTCGTGCTTCATCCAGAGAAGCCATGGTGCCGAATAAGCCTCAGATTAAACTAGCCACACGCACGTTTTTTACTAAAAAAGAAAAATGATCAGCGATGATGTTGCAGCGGGAACGCTTTCAGAAGCGTCTGCCTCGGAGGATGAGCAGTCCAAACACTGAGTCACCAGAAGGCCAAGGGTGATGTGACAGCTCGGCATCCAGCAATGCAAAACAAAAAACCGCAACCAACAACATCTGCTTAATTAAGTAGGGCAAGGCACAGAGGCGAGGAAAATGGACGACATTAAGACGTAAATTCAAGCAGCCTCTTTATCGAACACAGCTTGGGACAGGGCTACGGTGGAAGTGGAAGCTGTAAATCGTTCCTGGGAGCCAAACAAGGCACGAGGGTCTGTTTCCTTAGGGCTGAGCACGCAGCTTTTTGTGCTGCTGCAAACCCCAGAGGCGAGCGGCTCTCGGGGAGGTGACGGCGCTGGGCTCAGCCCTGCTGCTGCCCGACTGCCTCCGTCCGCCCCTCCCCGCCGGGGGCGGAGGGGCCCACAGCAGCTGCACCCAAGGCAGCTCTTGGCCCAAACCAGGGCCTTGGCAGCTCACGCTGCCTGAACAGCGGCCGGGTGGCTACATGCATCCATCTGGAGGATGGGACCCGCCAACACTAAAGCATCCCCATCACCCCGCGGGGATCTGCCTGCACGAGGACAGACGGGAAAACTCACCTGAAAGAAAGCGGATTTGTTTAACGTTGCTGGATTGCTCGGCGTGCATGTGCAGGGAAGCTCTTAATTTGGATTGGAGAGCGAGCTAAGCCACACAAAGTTACGGGCACGAACTCTGAATGTGCTCAGGTGCAGGAATTCAAAATTGGTGCATCAGAGTCACCCTGATGCAACCGCGCTGCAACAGGGACCGGTGGAGCAGGGAGCCTGCCCTCAGCAGCTGCTGTTGGTTTGGGACAGATGGGAACAAGGTCCCAGGGTTAGTCCAAACCTCACGGAGGGGCGAGGAAGGGTAACGTCCCCCGTGCCAGAAGCTGGGACCAGCGTTACCGCAGATAGCGCAGGGGCTGGAAACAGGCAGCCTCAAACCGCCCCGACAAGCGGGAGCGGACACGCCAACCGCTTGGGGAATTAAATTCCCTATCACATACAGTCTCTCTCCACCCTTAAAAGGTTGTCAAAATATTTGGCTTATCAGCCAGCCTCAAAGCCTATCTTTCAATTAACAGCTGAGGCACTGATGGGGCAGCTGCCTAGGTCAGATCACAGCGGCTGATTAGATTAGAAGCATTATTAAGCTCCAGTCACTAGTCAAGTCTCCGGGGCTGGTCCCTGGTGGTGTGAACTTGTAAAGGGACTTATTAGAATTACCTTGAAAATGCCTCGTCGAGACCATCATCCATTTCCTTTGTTAAAGAGACAAAAAGAGAGAGAAGTAGTTGCTAAGAGAATGCACAAAAGTATTTAGAGATCCAGCTCTGCGCTTGAGCACAGCAGACAAAAAATATATATATATATATATATTGTCTTCCGAGTGCCTAAAGCAACACTCCTCTCGGCACTCCACCTCCTCGGGCAGGTTTTATCTCACTCCCGGCACAAGCCCCAGGGTAAGAGGAGTAACTCTGGGTGGTCCAGGCTTCCTCAGAGCGATCCTAGGGCTCGGGTTGGGGATGCCGCACTCCCCTCGCAGCGCAGGGACGGGGCAGGGGCTTGGCCCCTTCCCACGGTCTCCAAACCAGGCTAATTCTGCCCCACTGCCTGTACTGGCTGGATCTGGCCCATCAGCTGGACCGCGTCCCCCTCCCGGGTTAACCACAGCCCTCGGCTCTTGCAGCTCCTGCCAGGAGACTGGCACACGCTGAGGGTTCCTCCTAAGAGGAGGGACCCGGACAGAGCTCGGCAAGGTGCTCCAGGGATCCCTCGGGGCTCTTCTGCATCAGGAACCTGGAAAGCAACTCTGCGGCAGCACAGAGGGAACCTGCGCTGCTCGGAAGCAACGCTGGGATCCTTTATCTCTGATCTGCTCCTAAGGTTTCCCAGGGAAAGCACTGGAGCTGCTTGGGAGAGAAAGGTTTCCTGTGCAGGGAGATGGGCTCTGTGCGAGGGCTTTGCTATGGACAGACTTGACTGTTCCCAAAATTGTGTGATGCACTTACGGACTTAATGTAATATGTAAAGTATGAAAACTCTGCAAGAAGGGAGGGATCAGAGACTGCTGGTAAGCCTCCAGGATTTGATGTGACTTAGAGCTGATCTTCAGGTTTAACCTGAAAAGCCTCAGGCTCAGACCCAGCAGGCTCAAGAAACAGGCTCCAGGCAAAGGCCTTTACCATTCCTTTCTCCAAAGTTCAGCACATGGTGTGTTTCCAGAGAGCGCACGCGGCGGGGATGAGGTCCCAGCTCAAGTGGGGCTTCAAAGATCAGCCCCAGCCCGGCTGGCGATGGAGCACTTGGGCATGGAGGAGGCTCCCCGATGGCTGCACACCCGGATGCATGCTCTGGGTCTACTTTTCTATTAGTGGTCCGTGACACAATTAAGCCAGATGACTGAGGACATTTTGGAGCAGCCACCCATGCTCACACAAGCCAGATACAGCCGCCAACAAGAAGGAGGGAAAAGTAAGAATAATAACGAACATCAATATAACCTGGTTTTAGTGAACAGTAAACAAAAGCCATCAACATAATGATTTTTTCCCCTGAACAGAGCAGCTAGGTGGTCTCTCAATTAAGTGACAAACCACTGAGAAATGCTGCTAGAGAAGAAGTAATATTCAATTATCTGACAGTGGCATTTCTCAGAATGCCTCGCAATCTCGTTCATTTATTTACAGAGCCTAAAAAGGCCAGCAGGCACTCAAACACTAATCGATCTTTTCAAGTAGGACACCGAAACCCAGCTTGCTTGGGCATCTCCGAAACCCTGCCTGAACGGCTCAGCCGCCCCAGAGCTCCCGGGGGGTTTTACCCAAGAAAAAGCCCCAAGACGAGACCCGGAGCACACGAAACGGAGGTGGCATCACTCCCTGCCCCGGCTCAGCAGGCGCCGCTGTGCCCCGGGCACACACTTACCCACACCACGTTGTTATTCACAGAGGAGCTGGGCCCAAACACGCTGTTATCTAAGTGCGGGGAGTCTGCGCTGCTGGTCAGGGGCGATTTGGCAGGATCTTCTAAATCCAGCAAGTTCCCCGTGGCTGCTGCTGTGAGCAGAGCAGAGAATGAATGAGGCAGGGGAGGGGAAAACAGAGATGACGCCAAACCGAGCCTTTTTGTCGTCATCCCTTCCCCTCAAGAGGGGGCTTCAAAGGGTTGCACTGAATTCCTTCAGGATGGCCCCAAATTTTAGCGTGGAGGAGCTGCATTCACCCCAGCTGGGGATGTGGTTTCAGCCCAATTAATTTGTGATGCTCAGATCAGGCACCCGAGAGGCCCTCGACAGGGACGCAGGGGCGGATCGGTCGGCTTGTCCCTCCAGCAGCCATCGGGAAGGCTCCTGGGCGCCCGCTGACCTTCCGCTTGAGTCAGGTTCAGCCCCAGGCTGAGACATCCCAGCCCCAGGACATCCCAGCCCCAGGACATCCCAGCCTAGGGTGGGAACAGACCCTGAGTGATATCCTCAGCTCAGCCCACGGCATCGATTCAGCCTCTCACGAAGAAGGATCATTATTTTACAGGGCTGAGGGCAAATCCTGCACCGGGTGAAGAGCGAAAGGCCTGCCGGTAGTCTGTGGGCTGCGTAGTTTCAGGGGAGCCTCAGATCCCCCCATCGCTCCGCAGTAAGGGCGAGGCAGACGTGCCCCAGCTGCGGAACATCCCCCAAACAGACACCAGAGCCCATTCCCACACCCGAGGAAGCCCCTGGCCTCATTTATCCTGATGTGCCACCGCTTGTGACAGATTCCTCCAGTCCTGGGCCTTCACACGAAGAAACGCGACATGCCAGCCTGGAAGGAAGCCCAGTTTAATGCTCTTTTCCTCTGTGCCAAATCCTCTTATCTCCGTGGCCAGCATGGAAGAGAGATTAGCCTTTTGTCCCACTTCTCCCCGGCTACGCGCCTTGCGTTTCAGAGGCAGCAGAGGACCCACACCCAGGCACTGAATTATGAGGGGTTTTACTGTTTAATTATTTTATTTTCACATGCCTTTCACTCCTTACGGGAGCTGGAGACAGAGCAGCACCTGGATGTCCATCTCCTCCAGCCTGTGGGATAGCGAGTCTTTTGGGTCCAGACAAACCCAAAATCAAACTCAGAAGGTGTGGGTCCACGCTAAGCTCATGAGGACATTACGGCCAATCTGCCTCGGGCAGAAGTAAACAGATTTGGGGTGGCAGCAGCTGGGTACGAGGGGCTGCAGGAGATAAATTTAAGGGGGAGATGGAAGGACCCCGCAGGCGGCCACCACATTGCAAGTGCTCTGCCAAGGGCAACATCTCTGCTACAGCAAAAGTGCTTGCTCCTTGCTGGTCTTCAACGCCCTCCCAGGAGCCTGCCCTGGTCAGGGAAAACCCCGCAGGCCTCACGTTCCCCATCCCCAAGCCCAAAGCCAAGCTCTGCTGTTGGTGACTTACGTGTGTCGGGATGGGCAGGGGCTTCCGAGCTGGGGCTGCTCGTCGCTGCTCCTTCCAAGATGGACCTTTCCCGCTTCTCCCTCTCTGCAAAAGAAGCAGACCCTGTGACTGCCGGTGGAGCTCTCTGCTGCATGCCTTTAGGGCGAGGGATGGGGGGACGGCTAGGACGGGCCATCAGGTCTCCTCCACCCACAGCAGCCCAGGCTCCGGGTGTGTTTTACAATCTTGTGGAAGGTGAAAGCAAAAATCCCGGCAGCAGCAGGGCTGAGGTACCACAGACGAGCACTGGGTCCTCCACACCCCGGCTGCAAGACTGGAGCATGGCCAAAACTCGGCTGGATTTACAAGGCTGTCGAGAGAAACCTGGAAGATGCCTTAAATCACACCAGAGGTTGGACCAAACTTAGCAGCAGCCTGGAAATTTGGAGGGCAAGGGGAAAAGGCAGTTGAAAGCTGGGAAAAAACCAAAGTTATCCCTTGAACTTTGGGTGAAGAGTGAGAAGAAGAAAATAAACCTCACCTTCCTTAGCTGCTTGCCAGAACTCGAATGCGATTTTGAAGGCCTGGGCTACGGTGAGGGTGACCGCTTGCGCCTGGGAAGACAGCAGTGAGGCAGCACATTAACCAACGGGTCCTCGTGGAGATTTAAATCATTTGGAGGCTTTGCTTTGCAGATTCATGTTAACCTGGATCCGACCAGTCCTCTGCTCCGCATGCGCCCCGCCTGGCTGGGGAGGGGTAATCAAATATTGATGGAAGCAGAGAGTTGCTCTGCGTAGGACACGCAGCTCGTTGTAGACACGTCTTCAGGTTTAATGGGCAGACGGAGGAGGCAGGGACACGGCCATCACAGGCACCGTGCTGACGGATGGGGAGAGAAGAGCTGCTCCCGACCGCGGGGCACGCACAGCTCCTCCTGCACCACGCACCGAAGCGTGACCTAAGCAAGTGCAAGCACTGCACGGCCCCAGGGTGGTCCCAACAGCTCCCCGAGGGATGCGGCTCCCCGCTCCAGAGCATCACCCACCAGAACGACCGACACCTCGCAGGGAACCGGCGCCTGGACCACGCTGCTGCCGGCCACACCAGTGCCAGGGAGGGATGCGCAGAGCTGTGGTCCACCCCTCCCCGGCACCGCGCACGACCACGGGCACGAGGATGCTCCAAGAGCAACAGAGTGAAACACCACAAATCTGCAGCTCTCTCCACCGGGGAGCAATCTCAGAGGCAGGACCTGAGAGACCCCAGGGTCTTCCCCTGGCTCCCCCCAGCTAAACTGGGGTCTGGCTGGCTCAGACCAACAGCCAGGGCCGCGGCAGGAGCAGGGACACCTTCCCCTTCAGTCCCCCCGTTCCTCCCCAAGCAGAGAGCTTGAGCAGCATTAAAACCTCCACCACCTTAAACAGCCTGAGTCGCCGGAGATGTATAAATAGTGACACAAATGCCACTTTCATTAGGAGAAGGCAGAGCTCACGAGCAGTTTAAGTGCAAGGAGATAACGAGGAACACTCCACAAGGCGGGCGCTGCCGGAGCCACGAGGCCTGAGTTTGTTTTACCAAGTTGCAAACTAAAGAAACCCAGACGTGGGTCCGTAACCCGCAGCCCCCGGTAGCTGGGAGGACAGAGCCCAGGTGTCCCCCAAAAGCCAGGCGCTCCCGCGCGGGAGGGGCAAGGAGACCCAGCAAAGCATCAGTGCTAATTAAGCTTTGCAAAGCAGGAAAGCTCGTTTGAATGTCGGAGCTATTTACATCTTTGATGGAAGTGCAAACGCTTTATGGCAAAAACTTAAATATGGTAATTAAGTATGAAACTCCTCACAGCTGTTTACAATTTAAGCTGTCACATCTGAATCAAGTTTAATAGACCCAGCTACCACTGAGAATTACCCAAGAACTAAAAATACAGACTAATTACACGCCCGTGACTGGTAGCTGCGCATACATTCAGGGACCCTGCCCTGGGGCAGGGACAGTCCCTGCTCTGGGAGCAGGGCATCACCTTACCAGCACTACGTTCTTGCATTTTAAAGACAAGGAAAAAAAATATTTCTAGTTTTTGCCACAAAAGGCCTTGGAGAACTTTATTTGGAGAGAGACACACTGAGCTGATGCACCACTGAGATAATTCTTTTAGCGCTGGAGAGATTTAAATTCAAATTTGCAGAGCGAGGCTTATCTTCGCTGTGCAAGGATGGGAGCGCACACCATGGAGAGGAGAGACAACTTGTAGCTTCCATTATTCTCTCCCGAGAAAAAAAAAAAAT